ATTTCCCCAAATCAATGTCTATGCTGCAAATACTGAAGAGAGCAGGGGGTGGGGGGGGGGGAGGTGTTGCTTTCAACAGTAGTGTGCAATGAGAAAACCCTGCTTAGTGCTGTTGTAAACTGGAACCTGCACCCTGCCGAGGGCATGAAAAGGCAGCCTGAAAGAACCTAAGCAGCAGCAATGATAGAAATGGAAACCATTTCAAACCCCTTTTTCTTGTTCCTTTAAAATAACTAAGATATAAATGCATATCATAAAATTCACCTTTAAGGTGTACAACTCAGTAGTTCTTAATATTCACAAAATTGTGAATATGTTATTTCAGACCATTTTTCTCACCTCAACAAGAACCCCCCCTTATCCATTATTAGTCACTCCCTGTTCCCTCCTCCCTCTCCCCCAACCCCTTGCAACCTCTAATCTAGCTTTTGCCTCTGGGTGTGCCTATTTTGGACATTTCATATCAATGGAATCATTTATTATGAGGTCTTTTCTGTCTGGCTTCTTTCACTTAGCATGATGATTTTGAGGTCTATCCAGCCATATCAATCCAGTCTCTGCCTCTGTCTCCTGGTAGCATATAGCAGTACCATTCCTTTTTTATGGCTAAATAGTATTCCACCCTGTGAATATACTACATTTTGTTGACTCATTCCTTGGCAAATGGACAGTTCAGTTATTTCTACCTTTTGGCTTTTGAATAATGTTTCTATTCCTTTTAACTTGGTTTTCCTGGGAAGGTCTTTGCAATAGTTAGCTGTATTTCTCTAGTCTGGCTATTTAGAAAATGGGAGGAAGCAGAACCAAGCATGGCGGGTTGACTGGGGAGCTGATGTGGTGGGAAATGCAGACGAGGGGAGAACTTTCTGCCAGAGGGAGGGCTTAAACCTTCCAACAGAGTCTTCTGCTGTTGTTGGATATTTTTCCTGTTGTTGTTTATTAGCTTATGGTTATGACCCTCAAAGTAGATCCCTGGGACTCAAACTGGTGCTTATTTGAAATATCATAAATGTTTTAAAAGGCATTTAAACAGTCCTGGACCCTTGTTTCTCTCTCTACACTTAGAGATCAAATTATCATCCTGTGAGTTTTATTAATAATAAAGTTGCTAGTTATGTAATAATAGTCTGCTTTTATATAGGACTTCTTGTTTTATTTCGCAGCCAATATGTTTAATTCCTCAGAATGTTATCACCCTGATCTTTGCATATAAAAGAACAGACACAGGGAGGACACAGTGATAGCACGCAGAGCTAACCTTGAACCCAGGAATCTCTTGATTCTTCATGTAACACTTTCATAAGAATGTGTGAGAAGGGACAGCTGCGGAGACTTTAGATGGTCCAGTGCAGAGCCATCCCAGGTGGAGGTGTGGACCCTGGAAACCTGGCTGCTGTGAGTGGGATCCTCCTTCAAGGGTCTGTCTAGATCCTTGCCAACAACCCCATCTGGGTGAATCATCCCCTCTGACTCATCACCGTCCACCCCCGGCTTCTTTGATCATTTCCTCCTGAGAGTTGCATGTGACTAAAGCCAATTAGGATCTTTCCCAGCCTCTCTGAGTCCTCCAAGCTGTCCGATGCTACCGGGGACAGAACTCTAGGGTGGAGAATCTCAATGCCACTCAGCTTTGGGGCAGAGGGATGCTGCTTGGGGCCCCAGAGGCTAGAGGAGTCTCTCCTGACCTGCTCTTAGCAGCCTTCTCTTGAAGACGAGCAGATGATCTTCCCTCTCCCTGTGCTCCCTTCTCTTCCTCTGGCCCCAACCCACCCTCCTCTTGTGGTTTCCTGTGTGGATCTGGGCCCTGTTTCCTTAGAGCTGTGTGTGAAGATTTAGTAGGTTGGTTGGAGGGGCATTTTCTTTCTTTTTTTTTTTTAAAGATTTATTTATTTATGCATACAAGAGCTGGGGTGCAGGCCGGAGGTGTGGGGGTGAGAGGAGCAGAGTGAGGAGCAGAACAGGTGGATTGCTGAAATTCACTGCTGAGGGGAGCAGTGGGCGAGGCCGGAGAGGTCTACTGTGCCATGTGGGTAGCTCCCTGGCCGGGGATTGTGCTCATGCTTCAGTGACTGGTGACAGCTTGATAGTGCTGTCTTTAACCCCTGCGCCACCAGGGAGGCCCCAAGGAGGAAAAATTTTCAATCACTGTGCCACAGCACTTTCAAAATCACTGTGGGTTATAAGAAAGTTGTTATAAATAATAGTATGGGTGCCACTTCTGCTAATTGTCTTTTGCTTATAATACATTAGAGCAGATTCAAAGTTACCCCTTGATAGAATCATGTCATTTTCACCTTCTCCTATGTGATATGTTGGCCTGAGAAGGGGCTGGAATTGCAGTGAGCACTGAAGTTTCTGCTCTGTCTTATCTCAGCACCAGCTGGTAGCAAGGTGGGGCCCAGCTGGCCTTGGGAGGGTGATCACATACAAATGTCCCTGGTGCTGACGGCCGGGGCAGGATGGGATTGGGGCCAGCTGACCTTCACAGGGGTGGTGCGGCTGAGCAGGGATTTTATCCTCTGTGTTTTTGGACCTCTAGTTACAAAGTCAAGGCTGGAACTTGGAACTCTGGGATTGTTTGTCTCCTAGGGCTGCTGTAACCAATGGCCACAGATCAGGCACCTTAAACAGCAGACGCTGATTGTCTCAGTGCTAGAGGCTAGAAGTCTAAATAAAATCAAGGTGTCAGCTTCTTCTGAGCACTCCAGGGAACAATCCTTCCTTGCTTTGTCTAGTTTCTGGTGGTAGCCAGCATCCTGGGCGTTCCTTGGAGTTCAGCTACACCACTCTAGACTCCCTGTGTCTGTCATCACATGCCATCGTCTCTTATAAGGACACCTGTGACAGTTAAGGGACTACCCTAATGACCTCATCTTACCTTGACTGCAAAGACCCTATTTCTAGATAAGGTCCATTCCCAGTATTGGCAGTAAGGACTTCAGATTGCGGGCTGCAGTTCAACTCAAACAGGCAGTAAGCTCTTGGATGAGTGCCTTTGACTCCTAGAAGGAAACCTGGAATTGAATTCATTGGGGCCCCTCCCACAGGTGCCCCTCTGAGACATCTATATACCAAGGCTGGGTGGATTCTCATTTGCAATCAAAGGCCTGTGTTTGCCACTAACTGCTACCTCCAGGGGTGTAGTCAGATCCTCAGCTGACCCCACTATAGATTTTGGGTGGGGATTTGCCTTCCCTCCCCTCCTTATCATGTTCTTCCATATCAGGCTTCCAGCCCCTGAAGGGGGGGCTGCTCTTCTTTGTCCTCACCTTAGGGGGTGCTTTCCTATTCTCACCATCCTTCCTCCTTCTTCTTTCCCTCATCATGGCTCTCAGGGGCAGGCCAATTGAGGAGCAGGCAGAGTGACTAGAGGGACTGAGCCTGTGCTGGACCCAGCTCTGTCACATCCACAGGCAGGTGAGGACCAGAGCAACCAGGTGGACTCCACAGCAATAACTTCCAAGGTTATAAGTGGAAGGGGAGCTGGTGGCTCCGGCTGGGAGGTGGAAAGTGCCTTTCCTTTGCGTCTGCATGTGTATGCACGCCGGTGCACAAGGCTGAGTCTTGGCCCTGTTGGTACTTGCAGTTATTACAGTCTGGACCAACCCCCTGGCTGTCACAGTAAGACAAGGATCAGGTAGAAAGGAGGAGGAAGGCAGATGGTGGAGCAGGAAGGGGGACTGGCCGGGCTGAGGTCAATGGAGTCATATGGATCCTCTGCCAAGCCAGATGTTCACGAAGTCTCTTACCTGCTGTCTAGAGGACGGTGCAGTGTGGCTGGCTGCAGGGGCAGCAGGGGCTGTGCTGGGGTGTACAGGGCCCTGTGAAGGCTGGTTTCTCTTGGGCCGGGTCTGACTAGAGCCAGAATTGGGTGGTGTCAAGGCCCCAGGGCAAGGGTTTCCTCTGGAAAGCTGGAGGGCTGGGACCTGGGTGTGTGTGTGTGTGGGATAGGATTCTCTCATGAACAAGGCTTGGCAGAGAGCTGTAACCCCCATTGGCAGGACATGGGCATTCTTTTGAGGTGACACCGAGGGTCCTTTGGTCACTTAAGTGGCACCAGGTGTTGGGCTTTTGGTGACTTCAGGATGGGACGCCAGAGGAGACAGTGGCAGAGTTGGTGGCTTGGATGGCTCAGTCTGATCTTCTAAGACTCTTAATATGTTGATAATCATTCTTGCCCCCTTCCAACTTAGGAAATAGCCAGGGAACGTCCAGAACATCAGAATCTCTCATCTGGGTCTTCCCCAGGTTTGCCCATCTGGCCCTGTTGTGTAACCATTGCTCCAAAGGCAAACATTCTGCCTGGTGATGGGACTGCAAACCAGCACTCCCTGGTCACCAGCAAGGGCCAGATGGAAAGTGGGGAGTGTGTGAGAGCAGCTAACTTGTCGCAATCATGTTGTCATGGTGACACAACTCTGTTTAGCTGCCTCTCCATGGTCCTAGCCCACATGGACTAAAATAAATTTTACCTGCAGCTTACACAGCAGGCAGCCCGTCCTCCCAAGGTCAGCCCTCTGTCCAGGGTGTGTGTGGTGTGTGTGTGTGTGTGTGAGAGAGTGTGTGTGTGTGTGTAAAGAGGCCCCAGGGAGGATGGAACTTAGACATTTACTCCTCTTCCCTTTTCCCACCCTAGTCCCAGACCTCTGTGTCTTTAGGCAGCTAGTTCTCAGATTTCTGTGTGCATTGGCATGACCTGTAGAGCTTGTTAAAAAAACAGATTCCTGGGCTCCATCTCTGGAGATTCTGGGGTGCACCCAAGAATTTGCATTTCTAACAAGTTGCCAGGTGATGCTGATGCTGGTGGTGCAGGGACCTTACTTGGAGTGACTCTGCTTTAGATTAAGGACATCCCAACTAAGAAAATGCACTACAGTTTTCCATGATGTGTGTTAGACAGTGTTCCCGGGCCCAGCCGCTCGAAGGGGAGGAAGGGGAGGAAGGGGGTGCCTCAGGCAGGCCCTCTCTCACCACCTCTGTGTGCTTTGGCCTCTTCACAGGAAGCAGGAGCTGGCCAACAGCTCTGATGTGACCCTCCCGGACCGGCCACTGTCCCCTCCTCTCACTGCCCCTCCCACCATGAAGGTAAGATAAGAGGCTCCGAGTTGGTGAGTGTCGAGGGGAACTGGGTGGGGAAAGTCTCAAGGCCTGGCTCTTGCTTTGGCTGCAGGCCCAGCTCTGTCCCCTGGGTGGCCCTGGAGTGCCCCGACACCTCTGGAGGCAGTGTCCACTTGAGCTACCCAGCTGGGGAGGAAAGTGTGACTGAGACTCAGAGGTTTCAAGGCACAGTGAGGACAATGACAGGTTGAAATGGGCTTGGCAGGAAGCTTGGGAATTAGTGAGAGGCCTTATGGAGCTGTGGGTTTCCAGAACAGGGCTCAGGCAGAAGTAAGTGAGGGAGACTTAAATGCCGTTGGGGGCCTGAGGGGCCCCTAGTGGCTGGGACTGGGGGAGGGGAAGGAGGGATCCTGTAGGCTGGGACCCCTCTGGGACTTGAATGGCTTGCTCCTGCTGGCCTACCTGCCTCTGTCTGACCCTCCTGGTCAGGCCTCGTCACCCCAATCTCTGTGGAGATTTGCCCTGGAGTTTCTGGGGGTCAGTAGTTCTTCTCCTGTTAATATTTCATTGACAAGTCTCCCTGGGAAACCACATTCCAGAATCTCAGACATAGGCCCTTCTCATTTCTAGTCCCTCCTTGGGCTGTTCCTTCTGTCTTCACCTTTCTATGCCTCCTGGAAGGATGGCCCCACAGACCTGAGCTGGCCTTCAGGGAGGGATTTTGGCTCAGCTGGTATTCCAGTGCCCTTACCTCTGTCTTCCCTCCTTCAAATGTCCAGGAGGACTAGCTCTGAAGAAGTCACCTGCCTCCTGAATCATCTGCCAGGACATCAAGCCAGCCCCATCTCTGTTCTAGGGCTGTGCTATGTTAGTGACTCACATGGAAATAATTAGGCATTGCATCCCTGCTACTCCCTGTTGCACCCTCTCTTCCCTGACCTAATCTGTTGCAAGGTGATACCCCCAAAGGAAGTCGATAAATCCCTTTCCCATTTTCATCCTGGATTGACTGCCCACCACACACAGAGCTATATGGTGGGGTGGGGGGTGGGGGGAACACTAGGGGATGGCAGCCTGAGCCTGTCTTGGTTGGATTAGGAGTTCAGGAGTGGGAAAGGCATAGGTCTGACTCAGGTGGGGGTTACCCAGAGGGCACTGAAAGCCAGACCCTCTTCATTAGGCTAATCCCAGGGCCTGTATCTGAGCCAGGTGCTGGGTGGTTCATTTGCACAGTGTAATCCTGAGAAGCACGTCACTATCCTGAGCTTCAGCAACTTGGTCTGTAAAGTTGGGTGTGGAATGCTTGTCTGTGCTCAAGGATGGTGGGAGTATACAGGGAGAGCTCTGGAAGTCTCCTTGGAGGAGTCACTGAGCTCCCTGGGAAGGCTTTACCTGCTCACATTCTCATTTAAGTAATCCAGCACCCAGTATTTATTTGAATTTTGTATTAGTCAAGGATCTTGGTTGCAAGTGACAGAAACATAACTCACTTTGGCTTAAGCATAAAAACATATTTATTGTATTTGTGATAGCAAGGATGGACTGCAGGCATGGCTGTATCCTGAAATCTGTCTCTTCCCATCTCCTGTGTTGGTTTCATTTTTTTGTCGGGCTCTTTCTCTGCAGTGGCAGCACGGCAACAGCAGCTCCTACCCCCTAAATAACTCCAGAGGAAAGAAGAATATAGTTTTCCTAATAGTTCTAATAAAAGTCCCCAGGAGGAAGCTCATTGGCCTGGCTTAGGTCACATGATCTATTTCTGAACCAATCATTGTGGCCAGAGGGATGGAAGGCTCTGATTGGCCAGAACTGGGTCTCAGGCCATCACCTAACCATAAGAACTGAGGGTGGGGGCCAGAAATTGAAAAATTGCACTGGCTGGTGTGTGGAGAATGCTAGGGGGGAGGTAGAAGAATAGTGAGTGAGAGAGGAATTGGGAGGTCGCTTGAGGCCACTGGGGAGAGGATGATGGCTTGACCCTGAGGAGCCAGTGGGGTTACTTGGAAGTGCAGATCTCCTAGGAGGTAGACTGATGAGATATGAGGATTTGGGGAGAGGTAGGAGGTAAGAATGGCTCCGGGTTTGGAACACTCGGATAAATGGCACAGCCATTCTCTGAGATGGGGTGACCCAGGAAGGAGGTTTGGGGATGATAGTCTCTGTGCTTGAGACATGAATGGGGATGTCAGTGAGTAGCTGGGTATTTGGGGGCCAGGCTCAAAAGAAGGGTTTGGAGCCAGAGGTAAAGAGACATTGTCATAGAGATGGTGAAATTTGGGGCGGGGGCAGGGAGGAGGCTTTTAGCTCTCCAGGGAGAGGGCAGAGTGAGATGATTCCTGGGGCAGCACCTGCGGGACGCCCCCCAGGAAAAGACTGGTCCTGAGGGGGCTGGAGACTTCATTGGGGGAGGGTTTCACAAGGGAGGAACGGGCAGACGTGTCAGCTGCTGCTGATGCCAAGTAAGAGGTGGAGGCCACAGCGGCCTCTGGTTTTGGTGGCCTGGAAGTGAGAGGAGTTCTGGGGGGTGGGGGTGAGGGTGGAGGAGTGAGCAGAGATGGAGTGAGAGTCAGAAGGTGTCGACAAGGCTTGTGAGGTGGGAGACTTGATAGCGTGGACTTGCTGAAAGGAGGGAGTCAGGAATACGGGAGACACAGGAGGGAGAGGGAGCAGGGATTTGGAGTACAAGCGAGGGATTATTAGTTAACACACTGACTCGTTCCAAGCGTTATTTATGAACATCTGCTGGGTACCCGATCCCACTTTGCTCTGGTGAGCACCGTGCGCAGTGGGCTGTCAGGACCTGAGGCAGGTCCAGAGGAGGCAGCCACAGGGACCCACAGTCAGGAGACAGACCTCCCTGAATGCTCTGCCTTTTTCTTTGAACTCAGCTTAGGAATTTCTCAGCCTGTGCTTGTACTGTCCAAAGCCCTGAGGCCAGAGTCAGAGCTGGGAACTCAGAAGAAGGATCCCTCATGAGTGGTCATCTTGGGGACTCACACTGGGGTAGGGACCCTTTGTGGTTGGTGTCAGGGGTCAGTATATCTGGGCTACCTGGAGTCTCCTGTAACTGTCATTTGGACTTACTCTGTGTCTAACACTTAGCCTGTGAGGATTAAGAAAATGACACTTTTCCCCTTTGTGCAAAGCTCACTGGTCCATAAGGAACTTAAAACCATGTTCCTCCTTTAATGGTCACCACAGAGGGAGTGTTCTCCTTTGGGCTACACTTACCAAGTCCTCCTGCGGGTGGTCCAGCTCTTCCTCACATTGAGTTCTCTGGGGGCAGTCCTGGATGTGGGTGCCTGGTGTGTGTTCAGCCTGTGTTGATTGTACAGGGCATCCAGCTTGGAGGAGCTTGCAATGGACCTACAGCTCTGGGTGAGCTTAAATCTTGTAGCTCAGCAGAGCTCTCTCTCCAGGTAATACTTTTCTAAGTGAAATCTACCAACATGTGTTCTTCAAGATGTGGACTGAAGCCCTGTCCTTCCCCACCAATTTCAGGTGGAGTCATCTCTGTAGACCTGCAGTGTCCTCTGCAGGGTGGCATCAGGTCGCTGCTCTGCGGACCCCTCCCTCCCTTCCTGGGTTATTGTACAGTCACAAGTCATGCAGTTGTGAGGTCTGAGATGTCCAGACTGGAGGCTGGGCTCTCTAAGGTCTCTGACCCTGAGGGTTCTGCAGCCCCCTGTACCCCAGCATCTGGTTAACACCTCATTTCCTTGGCAGTGTATGCTTGGGGAAGGGAGCGTGGGGGGTACCTTTTTGGTTGAAAACCTTGGGAGTCAGACTATCAGGGATGGATGGTCATTTCCTTCCTAGGTTAACTGGAGGCCCAGAAATGAGAAATGGCTCATCCAAGGTCCCACTGAATATAGTTATGTTCCTCTTATTGTGGGGAGAGTAAGTTAAATTCTAAGGCCCAAACCTTTTTTGGTGAAGTGCTCTTCTCATTCCACCCCACCCCCAGGGACTGCCCCAACTCTAGTTGCTTCTCTCCCCAGGAAGGGACTGCTGGAAAAGTACTGGCCTCCAGCCCAGAATCTGCCCCCCAGGCCTCTGCCCCTTACTGACATGCCTGCTGCAACTGGCCCTTTTCTCATTCTCCTCCACCTCTTTGTTGTTTGTGTTTTTCAAGGGGATTTTTTTTTTTTTCCTAATATGAAGCTGAGAAAAAGCAACCAAAGAGATGCGGAGCAGATGGGCTGAATGAGAGCCCAGCTCCCAGCCAGAACTGACTGTGGATGGTGCAGGGTGAGCTGGGAGAGGGGTTCGGGGCTATCTCCCTGGGAATGCTATGGATTGTTTCCAGGCCCACATTTTGTGTGATCTGGTTTTCATACCCAAATGGATCAATAGGCATTTAGGGAGGGCTGCCTATGTGTACCCGGTGTCGCGCCAGGCCCCGTGGGGTCAAACCACGGCCACAGTCCTCGCCCCTCGAAGAACTTGCTGTCTCCAGGGGACCTGTATTGAGCAGAAGAAACCATAGGGCTCAGCATGTGACAAGTTCAAATGTGTATTGTGGCTTCTCAGTGGGGTGCAGAGGAGTGAGGATGCTTCTTGGGGAGGTGGGATGGGGATGTTGGAGGGGTCCTGATGGCTAGCAAAGGGTAGGGCTCTGCTAACAACAACCTTTCTGGGCTTTGTGAATTAATGAGCTTGACCTTCCTGATTCTCTTCTGATTCACAGTAAGTGAGCAGGTTATTGAAGGTGATGAGGCTGGGGCTTGATGTGACCTTGATTTGAACCATCAAACTCCTCTCTGGAGCCCCACCAGGCCTGGGTTGGGCTGCTCAGCTAGCTGGGAGGTGGGCCTCACTCAGCCTTCTCCATCCCTCTTCGTTCAAGTCTGAGGGTAGCCCCCCTCAGACCTCCTATCTGGAAGAGGATAATGAAGACCTGCAGTTTCTATTCGGGGCCAAGAGGGGAAAGTCTTGTTCCTATGTTACTCCTTGGGTACTTTGCTCTCCATGACTCACTGAGGCCCCCAACTCTCAGGGGTAGTAAAGACAGGGGTGTAAGTCTT